TGTTGCGAGTGCTTCGAGGTTTTCGTTCGTCTTGGCGCTTTCGTCCTCCACGCGTTCTTTCATCGCTTGCAGCTCTCCTTTGACGGCCTGTAGCTCGCTCTTGACTGTTTGCAGCTCCGAAGTGACCACGCGAAGCTCTGCCTCAACGTTTTTATTCCGTGCTTCCGACTTCTTCCACGCATCGAACATGATCTTGACCGCTGTGTGTAGCTCTTTGACCTGCTTGCCCATCGTCAGGAGCAGCCCTTTGTCGTCATCCTCTATGGGTTTCGCGCGTTCCTTGGCCAGGGTTGTGGCTCGCTTGGTCGTCGTCCGCCGGCCACCACCAGCAACCTCCGTCGCTCCGTCGGTCGCATTGTCGATTATCTCTTGATGAGTCTGGTTCAGTTGGGCTTTCGCGGATGGCTTTCGCACCCTTCGTGATGGCAGGTCCTCGTCGCTTGCTGCCGTCACATCCCTCGCAACGGTGATGGACGTCGAATCTAGCTCGCGATCCATCGCGTCGGGACGTGCCTAGAATCGCCACGCGGTGGGTCGTGCTAGTGCCACGTAGCGCGTTTCGAAACGTCTCAACGGCGCTCAGTTCGACGATGTCGAAGAATCCTCCAAACAATAACGTAACAGATCCTGAATCTTCCTCAATTCCAGTTTCACAAACATTCAGATCAGAAATTGCCTGAGTGTTCTACCCTGTATCCCACGAATAGTCAAGACTCGAGACCAAGCACCCAAGAAGCTCAAGAGTTGGGACAAGGAGCACGGAGCACAGAGCGCCGAAGCTCGGTCGAAACTGAAGACCGGGGGGCCGTCGACCCGTCGGTACCGTCAAGATGGCCGACCGTCTGACGGTCATGTTTTGCGGCTCTTCGGTTTCTGATGGGGGACCCCCGTCTCTAAAGTCTCCAGCAAGATCCAGCCCAGACAAGATCACGCAGATGCATCCGTTGAACTATGGGGGTCCGCAGAGATTGCGTGAGATTGCGCGACGTCCCGAAGAAGAAGCATACCACTATCGCTGGACCCCACGAAGCCCATCAACCCACAGGCGAAGATATGGATGGACCACAGCAAACGAACTTGAGATGATCGATATCATTCCACTTCCAGTGCGGTAGGATTCTCTGCCCATAGCTGCCAGTGCTTTTCTGCCCACCGATTTCCCCCGACACATTGACCGAGTGCCGAAGCTTAGCAATCCAGTCCATTGGGAAGAGAAGAAAAGCAAAAAAAGTGTTTCGAAAACTTGGCGGCCTTTCATCCAGCTGTCAGTGTCACAGTTCAATGTCCGTGACCGAGTCCGCCAGCAAGGACCATCCATACCATCCGCCGCCCATCAAACGGGCGCAAAGTTCGCACTACCATGGTAAAGGAAGGCCGCTCAGTGATCGATCATTCGCGCGGTGTGAGGAAAGCCTCACTTCTGACTCTTCCAAGGTTGCTTTCAGAGGTACATGCTGACAGCGTTGACGCTTGACGGATGCTACAATGGCACAGTTCAAGCAACCGACGAGCAGAGCAAGGCAAGGTTTGGAGGTCTTGGCTCCCGAGAAGCGGTCACTGGCAGTCGTTGACGAGAAACCCATGTCCATGCTCCCGGACCCGGGCTGCCCCTCCTCGTCGGCGCTGCTTGGGTCTTCCCCTCCTCCCAATCCAGCAGAGCGCTGCCCGCAATTGCTCAAGCCTTTGTCAGATATCACAAAAACCTTGCAGCAGCGGTTACGGTCAGAGAGGGAGGGAAGAAGCGTCGCCGTCTGGCCCGTTTGTCCTGCATCGAGCTCGATTCGTCGACTCGACTGGGGAGAGAGAGAGAAGAAAAAAGTAAATATGAAGCTTTTCTCTGGCCACAAAGATTATGGGAGGCCCAGGTTTTGCTCGGGTGGCCTTTCCTGCTACGTGGAATTCTCCCCCTCATCTTGACGTTCCACACAAAGCATGCGTCAAACCTGACAGCCCGTAACTCAGGTATGACCTGATAGCCACTCGCCGCATGGAGGTTACGTTCGGAGAAAAACACGAGACCCAGCACGTTTAAAGAGACTTCAATCTGTGCTGTAGAGCATATCCCGTCCGTAACGAGTGTGTGTGTGTGTGTGTGTGTGTGTATCGTACAGAGAGAGGTACGGAGAACAGGTGCAAAGTGAGCACTGTAAGAACACACTACCCAAAGAAAGAGTGGGACTTTGGATTTCGGGATTTGAACTTGTCCCTTCTGTGGGGGCTGAGGCCCAGATTATCCTTCTTGGCGGTACAGGGAGGGTCGAGAAATCGAATGGGTTGTGGTGGGATACTCAAAGAGGGCATGCCGAGGTCGAGATGTATACATGAACAATACTTGGCTCTGCCGCTTTCTCCTTAACGTTATTCATGTCTCTCTTCGATCGACGCAATGTCACCATCTGGTAGCCCGACACCCCCTCCATTCCCTGTCCTTTGGATGCTCTTTCCCCTTCCCCTTTGCCCACTGTTAGTACTGCTAGACACCCCCCCAGACGGAAAGGGACATGAGACGGATAAAGCGCTGCAACTCTACGAATACAGAGAACTTGGTCTGCACGCCTTCAACGGACAACAGGGCAGCTAGGGGCCCCAGCCATTCTTGTGGATGTTCCCAGAGGAATGGCACGCTGGACCGGGACTCGGGAGGAAGCTTTTCTTGGGAGAAGGGGGGCCGGCCCATCGAGGTCACTCTCTCCGAGTCTCTCAGATCCGCAAGTATTTTGTAATTCACTGGCTGGGAGATGTTGACGTTTACGAGAGGAGCTGATTTATCCCTCAAAGACTTGCTCAGTATTCCCTATGGTCAGACGTATTCCAATGTGAAACCAGAGGCTTTGCAAGTTAGTATTAAACATACTGGGTTCAACAATTCAGTGACTTTATGGATTCGATAGGACTTCCATGCTGGCATTGGTAAGCGGCAAAGTCCATGGAGGGGGCTTCGATTGTGTTTCTTTCCACCCAAAAGTCCTTCCTTTGCAGCGAAGATCGCATGCCTCTACGCCGCTCGTCACTCGGCAGTCGGCAGTTGCATCGTTCTAGCCTTTCAGGTGAGTGGTCGTTTCTCCAATAGTTCAATCCTGTCCCTATCTGCATCTGGCGTACGGCATCAAGGGCCGAGGCAGGTTTTGATACTTCAAAGTTCAAAGTTCGCTCTTTAGTACTGATACGGATCGGAGTACGGAAAGCGATTATGACTACACCATTCTATCCACCCATGCAAGTAGCTTTGATATCACACGTCGTGACTTCCCGCGCCATGCAAGCGATTGCCATTCCATTGCATTATTACAACCCGTTGAATGCCACGTTCGGATGCGACCTCCCGGACCCCAAACGGAGCCCCCCCCCCCCAGACCACCAACAACAACCACAACCCCGTCCTTTCCCATCTGCTGTCACTCACATCGACATCCCATCCATCGAGCGACACAGGGCGACATCGTCTCGTCTCGTCTAATCTGGCGTCGACCCAATGGCAGTTGACGCAACTGTAAGTCCCGGGCTTGACCGCCGGCCGCCGTTACGTCTGTGTGCCGCCAAGGCAAACGCCGCGATTCTTGTGACTCGTCCCTGTTTTCCCTCCAGGGCATATCATTTTCGGTCCCGTCTTCTCGTCCACCCGACAATCTGCATCTACCTACCGCCCGAAGCAAACGGGCGTTCGGTCGTCTTGCTAGCACCGGGAATAACGACCACTGCAGATCTCCGTCGTCAGGTCATTTCTCATTTTGCCTTCACACCGTCGGCTTCAGATCAACTCTCCTCTCCACCCTGGATGGAACAAGAGACTGAAAATCATGAGATGACCCAGACAACCAGACCAAATCAGGACCAGACGGTACTGAGATGGATGGCAAGCTGCGATGCTCTAATCCAACTGCGAGGTTCATATGACCTCTTAGCATCCTGGGCGTCCGCAGCTTTTTCGACTCGTGCCTGCTGGTCCGTGGTTCAACCTAAGCCTCTCTCTCCCGCAGGAGGGGGGATCAGAGTCGGTTGCGCTACTTGGGCCCTAGGTTGCGCCCCCGTTGTGTAACTCATCTCTTGTCGCCATTGCAGATCTTGATTCGTTGTGACATGCGTGGTCGACAATGTAATTTGCAAAACCATCAGTTTCTTTGGAATCCCATCCCAGGCGAAACAAAAGGCCTAAGCTACCTTAGCTGCTTAGTCTCAGCCCCCCCTCCCTCCCCCTCGAATCCAAAGAGACGAAATGTGCTCGTTCAAGGGGACCTCTGAGATGGAACTACGTGCTAGTCACCGCCCGTGAGCCGGGGTGCCGAGCAAGTTCGATAGCTTTGGACGCGACGATCTGAAGCCGTTGCTTTTTGGCCTGGACTTTGACTGTTGATCGCGAACCACTACCGGGCCTAACACTGCACTGTCTGCTAATAACCACGACCAAGGCGGTCAAACATCGCAGCCGCCCGCCGTCTGAAACCCATACGTGCTAGACAGCCTCGAAGGTTGAATACCGATTACTGAACATTACCGTACTGGAAACTATCGGAATGGTCTCACGCCAATTGCGATACCAGTTACAGCATGTTAGGGCAACATGATATTTCGGCCGTACAAGCGCAAGCGCACGCGTTCTACTCTGCTCTGACCACATGCCACCCGATCTCATTACCAGATAGGCTCTTGTGCGTGCTTATCCCTCAAAGTTTGATGACCCGACGACACAGCCATCATACCCGTCTGGCACAAGCTTACAGATACGTAAGGACATACATGTTTCCATGCTCAGGCGAGCTGCAACCTCTTTAACCCAGCTAGTCGAACAGGTTCCAAAACGCCGCTAGCAGCAAATCAACCCAAATTGGCGCAATGAAGATCTTCGGAATCATCGGGCACTACCATGAAGTTTCTGGGCCGAGAAATCTCTCTCCCGAGCTTTACAAATCCTGCCAGGTCCTCGTTATCCTCGGAACATGAGCAATTGCACAGCATGACGACGAAATGGGGGACTGCGATGCCTGTGACAAACGCACGTCAACCTACAAACGGGCTCAGCCTACGTATATGCGCGCAACATGTAGACATGACTCAAACGGCAGACACGACAAGATCAACGCTGTGCTATTCCCAAGCCTCACTCACTGCATGACCTCGCTCTCGCGCTGAGCAACGCCCGGCCCCGACATCATGCCGCAGAGGCGCATAACAACTGCATCTCTGTCTACGGATACCTCTTTGACGCTCACCGCATTTGGCGACGTGTGTGCGCGCGGTCCCAATCGAAGGGCTATTGGGTGGTTCCATGTCTTGTGCCTGCAATTGCGGGCCACTATCCCCTCTGTCGGGTTAACTGTAGGCTGCCTGCAGATTGTTGTGTGTGTGCTGGTTTCTCTCTCTCTCATCAACGGACGGCTTGGCTGCTTGAATCCTTCGGGTTTCGCAGCCTGTCAAAGGTGTCCAGAACGGTGGATCGCATATCCGTCCGTACGCAGTACAGCTGTGGTCCTGGCTGGCTGGGGTCTATCCAACATCTGGCGCTGGGCAAAGGAAGCCGGCCGGCAAAGCGTTTGTCAAAGTCACCCCTGTCGTTTTTCTTTCCTTGCTGCCGCGCCCGCGCAGTACGCGCAAGTTGCGCACCCACGATGCCCAGGACCGCATTAAGCACCTGCCTCAATACTTTTGATCGAGCGGGGTTTCCTCACGGCCATCTTGGTATCCGTACGCATCGAGTCGGAAATGAGGCCATGGCTGCTTCTCAGAGTCACATTCGATGTGTGTGTACGGTGGCTCTCCGCAGGCCGTTCCACTCCAACAACTCTCTGGATCGAAGCTGGTCCCCCGCGGTATTCCAGATATTGTCGACAGAAGGCGAGCATACACATTTCTTAGGCTCTGCTCTCCTCGCAAAAGCACCTCACTCAGAGGCTTGGTCTCTCGGGGATGGTTCGTTCAGACAGCAGCTACCCGTCATAAGCTGTGTTGCCTGTCATCCCTTTCCACATTAACCGGACGGAGGGTACGCTATCCGCCGACCTAACGAACCATGGCTGAAGTGCCGTCCAGTCCTTTTTATCCAACAGGACGGCACACCAAGAACGCCACAGCTCTGCCTCTCGGGTCTGGCCTCCTATTTCTGCATCTCACTGCCCTCAACATCCATTCAGTCATCGTGACCCCCCTCTCCCCGAGTGGATTATTGTTTCCAACCGAGTGGTCCCCCTTGGACCTGCACCTGTAAGCGATCCCGAGGCGAGCAGTACCGTGCCAGCGCACTGGCGAGATTCTTCCCGCTTGTGCCGCTCGATTGGGATGACTCCATTTTAAGCAGAGACGGACGAACATGGCGGGACCTACTTCGTACGTATCCGTAGTGCAATAGTCTAGTGCCTCCATTCCGAGCTGTGGAGGCGTGCCGCCGTCCAGGTGGGGATTTTTTGTCAAAATGTTTGCTGGTCCCGCGCATTGTGCGACATGCAGATGACATTAAACGGTCTCAATTACGCGCGCGACTTGGACCTGGCGTGAGTGAATCTTTTGGACGCAATGGTATCCTGACTTATTCATTGCAACACAAGAGACGACACCAAATAGGAACGTGGCCGGCTGAAGGAGGAACTCCACAAACCGTCACGATAATCTGCCACAGTCGTATTCTATCCAGCCATGTCCTGGCAGTGGCCCATCTCATGGTGTGCCGTGTAGATATGCCCATGCACCTCGTGATCGTCTTCCCGACGCCGGCTCGTGGGGGCCAAGAGCAAACAAGACAGCAACATTGATTGCCTATTCGTACGTACGGAGTACCTGTCTACATACAGCTGTGGGAAGCCGGACGAGACGCCATTTCCCCTTTCCTCCTCCCTGGCATACCTGTTCTTTCTTTGACCGCCAGAACGGGCTCATACGAGAGAATCCGAGGGGATGGTTAAGCTAAGCGGCCAGGACTGGCGCGGTCGAACTCTATTCCAGCCGCAATGAGCAAAGCAAGGAAGCCAAGTCAAGCCAGCCCGCTACGGCGTCAGGTGGGCGTTTGCGAGTGACTCTCGAGTCTCAAGTCTCGACATTTCTCATGCCTTCCGTGTCTCTATGTCTCTTTTTATGTCCGATCAGCGGATCCAGCCGTCGAGTGATTCACCCTCCCTGTAAATCTACGCGCCAGGCGTGCAGATGTAATTCTAAATGCGTCGGGAAACCAGCTGCCAAGCTGCTTCTCTGCCTCCTCCGCCTTCGTTTCCTCCCCGTTCTTCTTCTTCTCCTCCTCCTCCGCGCCGCCGTCACTCCCTTCGAGCATGACCGCCAGCGCCTTCGCACACATCCAGCAAAACACCATACCGTGTCCCTGAAAACTCGCGCAAACCCACAGCCCGTCCTCGCCCGGCACCTCTCCCACGAATGGGAACCCGTCGGGGCTGAAGCCCATGATGCCCGTCCACTCGGCGCGCACCCTGCCGCCGCCCTCGCCCTCGGGGACATCGTCGCCCCAATCGTCGCCGAAATAGCGCGGCGTCGTCTCGCGCAGGTATGCGCTGATGATGGGGTTCAGCCGCGAGTCATCCGTCGTGCCGTACTCGCCCAGCCCTTGGTCGGGAGCGCGGACTAGGCCGCCGCCGATGACGATGTCGCCGGCGAACTGCGTGCCTGCCGGTTTGGGGATCATGTACTCGTAGCCGGCCTCGTAGATGAAGCTGTAGGTCGTCGCCAGGCCCGCCTTTGGCATCTTGGAGCCCGGGCGGTGAGCTGTGATCTGGCCCCTCATCGGGACGATGGCTTCTTGGAAGCGCGGGTGGAGGAATGCGGTGTAGCCATTTGTTGCGAGTATGACGCGGCGAGCCTTGATTTGTCCCTTTGGTGTCTCGACTATCCAGCGATGGTTGCTCGTGGAGACACCTTGTTCGATTTTCTTGACGCTCAGTGCTGGTGTCTCTGTGAAGAGCTTCATGCCTTTGTCGACGCATAACTCCAGCACGCCGGCGGTGAAGCGGTATCCAGAGATGCTTCCGGCTTCGTATCCGATGCCTCCGTATAGCCCTTCTTTTGCAACGTGAAACCGGGTCTTCATCTCCTCGACGTCATAAAACTCGTACTTTGATGCGTCGTCGTCGGGCATGGCCTTCCTCATCGCCTCTACGGCCTTCTTGTCGGATTCCCACTGTGCCTTGTCGTATATCGCGTCGACCGTCTGGCAGGGTCTACTCTCCGTCTCCTTGTGCTTCAGATGTGATGCGGCGAAGGCATGAACGGCTCGAATGTTGGCAAGTTCGAGACGGGCAATGAGGCAAGCTGCTTCTGTCCCAAGCGTCTCGGCGTGATGAAGAAATGATCGGTAGGATGCGGCTTTGGTGTGGCCGCCGTTGCGACCCGTCGCACCAGAGGTGAGGGTGCGAGCCTCAAGCATGGTGATGTCCGGGGACGCAACCGATGCATGGTCTGAGGAGAGGAGGAAGTGCGCTATGGCTGCGCCGGTGATGCCACTCCCTATGATCAAAGTATCGGTCTCTGAGGGTGGTGATGGGCTGGAGTTGTAGGTTGCGAGACGGGACGGTGGCGAGTGCCAGTAGCTGGGCGTTGGGTTCGGGACTGGGAGGGTAACGGGGATGCGGGCTCTCTCGTCCATGATTGATACAGACGGACGAGTGGATTCTTCTTATTATCTTTCCGGCTTGAGCTCAGGGTTGACTACCTTGGACAAACATGAGGGCGATGAGGAAAACGCGAATAGGAACGATGAGTTAGATTCGGGATGGGTCGTTGCGGGGAGATATGTGAGGTTGCCTTTGACGTCAGACACGAGATGAAGCGTTCCCCAGTCTCGTATTCATGTTCATATGCCGTGTCACATTCTTCAACATCCCTTACGTATCAGATTGATGTAGATATCACAGCATCCGGAGGTCGTGGTGGACGAGAGTCTATGTCCCTCGGTAGGAATCTCATCTCCCCCACTCAATGCGATATGGCAAGTCTATGCGGGCGATGATCGGTGCGGGGTTCCGGGCCCGGTGGTCCGCATAAACATGCCTGTTTGGGTATCGGCGCATCCCGGCGATGGCTGGACCACGGCGCATCTCATATCGATCACGTCTTCGACATGGCGATGGATATTCACGCGAAAGGCTGTGTATGATTTTATGGCCGATGCAGAAGCACTAGAACCTGAAAGGAAGAAAGGTCTTGGCGGTAAAGCGCAAACCAAACCGTGGGGAGCTAACTCCCTGACCATCCCAATATCTACACCGAGAATGCCCTCAGCCACCACACACGACCATATCTATTGGAAAGCTCAGAATTCCCTGATAGCTGACAATCTGGATTCATTGGCCGAAGGGTCGTATGGAATCGAATGTTTGTCTGTTCCTCTATTGTAAAAACGACAGCAAGTCCGCCTTCGCTCGACACCGCGTCGTCACCCCCCTCTCCTTTCTGCTCTAGCTCTTCATCGCCTCTCTTCTTCTCCTACGCCTCACCTGGTCTCAACAAGACACCCTTCATCTTTAAGTAGCGGTTGCTTGCTTCTTCGACTTACCTACCTGCACGATATGCCACACCCACGCCATCCAACCGTTCTACATGTGCTGTACTTCGTTGGTGCAATGCTGTGCCGTGGAGGCGCAGTACAGAGTACTCTGACCAACTTCTAATTTTAAGCAGCCGTAAATAAGGCTGCAGAAGGGTACCTCGTGAAGCTTATAGGCAGGAAGGCATGATGAGTACATGTTTTGACAGGAAATCATCAAAGGATTGCGCGAACTAGCAGAATCAGAGCTGACAAGGTCAACCTGACATGCCTTATACGTCTCGCCTATTTCCCTGAAGTCTTTACGTACGGACGGCTTCCCTATAGAGCTAAAATAAAATAAAATAAAGGGCCTTGAATGTGTACCCTGCGCCTTTAGGCCTGGCTCAGGGGCCTCATGCACAAGCTTCCTGCCAACATGCATGTGTAGGAGCCCAGCACACCTTCGCCGCCTCAGCCCCATCTCGGCACGAATAGATAAGAAGGCCTCAATTCCATCTCCCCGCTTCGTATTTGGGCAGTTCATGCTCTTGCTCAAAGTCCACCTGACAGAGATCCGGCGTTCTGCCTTTGCAAGTCAGTCGCCATGTCAAGCTCTGAGAAGGGCGAGGCGTTGAAAAGCCAACAACTATATGCGTGGAAGGCTCCGCTCACAATGTGCCTCAGTATGATGGGCGGGGTCGGCTTTGCAGTCGGTCATCACTGCTTCTACGGGCGCCTCGCCGGAACGCCGCCCTCATCAGAGACCTACTACGATTTGGGCGGCGCTACCAGCCAGCAGCTCAACATCGCCCTCGGAACACTGTTGGCTTCCATGTCCAAGATTCTCCTTAGCATAGCCATATCCACGGCGCAAGAGCAGCACGCATGGAGTGTTCTCAAAGCCCGCCCTTCAAAGCTCCGTTCAATTGACGGCTTGTTGGCCTCCAAGTCGAATGCTCTGAACATACTAGATGCCAGGCTCTGGGTGCTGTACCCACTTTCCATGTTCTTGTCGCTTCTCTTCTGGTAAGTATTTGACTTGGCAAGTTTTCTGCAAGAACAATTGTCCTGACTGGAATACGGAATATTAGGCTTCTCCCATTCGCCACGCTTCTTACTCCGGCGACGTTGACCGTCAAGGCAGATGTGGCAAGGGGCATGATAATCGGCCCGGTTCCCAGTATCGACTTCACTACTGAGGCATTTGCACGACTCACAGACGGCACGCGTACCACAACCTACTCAGGGCCGAGTGATGGAGTCAGAAGAGCAGCACTCAGCTCACTCATATCAGGCACCATCACTCCGATGGCTTCTACCTACATTAACGCCAGTTGGATTTTGAACCTCGAAGCCCCAGCCCTCCGATGCTCTGCTCTGGGTGCAGATGACGAATTGCGCATCAATGTCACCAAATCAGCAACTGAGCGCTGTTCCTCTTCTGGTTATTGTTATCGTTATATCTCCTGGATCCCAGGATCAACTACAGATCTTTCACCATTTTTGCCGGAAAAGAACGGTGCTACGAGAGACGCAATATCTGGGCCTCAGGATGCCCCAATCTCCTTATACGTTGCTGAACCCCAGGACAACGGGTCGATTGAATCGTTTACGAAATGCACCTTGTATACCGCCTCATACCATACTGAGTTCATGTACCGGTCCGGAGTTCAGGAGATCAGGGCAATGACGACCATGAATAAGCCCAGTGACCCTTGGCTTCAGGCCGTAGGTCCCCCATCGACAAGAACCTTTAGAGACGGCGTCGGGGTACCCTTCCAAGCGGTCATGGATGCATTTTCTTCAATGCTGGTTGGAAGCGCGTATATCAGTCGTAACGGTCCGGGCGCTCAGCGGTTCATTGATACGCAGGTGGGCATAACAAACCTGGCAAAAAACTTGAAGTTCTTTGGAAACCAGTCTGGCAATCACGACATTGCTACGTTGCTGGAGGAGATGTTTCTTAACACGACATTGAGTCTAGTATCTCAAACGGAACTAAAGTGAGTTGCTTTCTACTTGGCCTTCAACAACACAATGTCTTAGAATCCAGCCCTGGAGACCATCAACTGACGATATTGAGAAGTCCCAACGAGCCGATCCAAGCCAACATCGAGACGGAAGTATACCAGAACGTCTACACTTACTCGGTAGCCCCCTTATGGATAGCCTACGGGGTCGCCGTGGGAATAACTATCCTGTCCATTACCATAGGTACTTGGGCGGTAGTCGTGGCAGGCTCTTCGTACAGCAGCAAGTTCTCGACAATTCTGCGCCTTGCCTTCAACGTCCGCCTGTCCGAGTACGTCGAGCTTCAGGACACTGGCGGCGAAGATCCGCTGTCGGATCGGCTGGAAAACACGATTGTTGCATTCCCCTCAAGGAAATCGAAGGGCGCGGAGGTTAATGGCTCACTGTTGGATAATAGCGAGGAGAGACCATCAGGGCCTTGAGGAAGTGAGTGGAAAGAATGAGCTTTTCCATACACGCTTGATTATAAGTTGATGCTGTTGTCGTTCAAAGACAGGAGGATCATAGCCCCTACAGAGAACAGGAGGTGTCTGTTAATTATATACGAGCTATCACCAGTCTTTTAGGACTTGATATACAGACAAACAGGTTACGGGACAGTGCCTGACCGGTCAAGCATATTGGGCTATAATAACGGTACAGTAGGGAGTTATGATTCAATCTCAGTTACCCTGAGACCGTAAGTCTCAGCCTCTCCCCTCACTAGATAAGTACAAGCTTACATGGCATCTATGTGTAAGAGATTCTCTAACTTTGCACCACTATGTAATGGCTTCTTGACCACCAGGATAAAGTCGATCGTTGCGTGCTCCTTGAGCACCATCTGCAGTGTCAACGCTGCTGCGTGGCTCCCTTTGCTGCTATCAATGCACTATGGATTGTCACAGCCCTGTTGCGCTGCTACTAGCCACAGTAGTCGAGACTATCCCCTTGGGTGGCACCACAGCTGGGTACGGGTTGATGGAACCGTCACCCCACGCATTGAGGGCCCTTCCACCATCTTCTTCGTATTTGGCGGCCGCTTGGAAGCCTCCGTTGAAGTTGTCACCCATGTCGACCCCGATGGTATGCCAGGCGAAGATACCATCCGCTAGATCATTCGTGAAGTAGGCATACTTGACGAAAGGATCGTACGCCCCCAAGTCACCGACCGTATTGCCATTGAGCGTCTTGTTTTCGGCCAGAATGTAGTCGTCCACATTCTTGAAGTTGTCCTTATCGGTGTTGGTGTTGTAAGGCCAGATGGGGTCAACGGCATCACGAAGCTTCTGCTCGTAGTAAAGCTGTCCCACGTAACGGATAAATGTGTCGTCAGTTGCGAGACCACCGGCAATTGTACCCTTCAAGCTGTTAGCCTCTTAAAACGGTGTCAATCACCTTCGCGGCATCCGGGCGATGCTAAGCAGAAAAGGAAGGAAACATGGCAAATATTGTCAGTGGACTTACATTGGCGAATGTTGTAGCATTTCCCCATGCTACAATATGTGTATGAGTAGCGCGAGGATAGTAGTGTCCAGGTACAATAAGATCGAAACTAGCCACACCGTGTTCGTCCGTGATTTGAATGCCTCGCAAGAAGGTAGAGTTGAGACCGCCGAATCCGCTGATGCCAGCGGGTGATTCCGCTCCAGAGTAACCGCCCGTTGCATTGGCACCCCAGATATCGATGAACAGAGCGGGAACTGGCTTGCAAGTGTTGACGTCCACGAACTGCAACTCCATGTGCATCGGAATGCCGATCTGGTCTTCGGTGATGTTGCTGCGAATGAGCTCACCCTCGACATAGTAAGGACCGATCGTCTCAGCCCGACCAAGTACGCAAGAGGCATTGGAACCAAACAACTCTTCGTAGGATCCGTTCGTGACAACGGAAGTCAGATTATGGTTAAGAGAGTCATAGTAAGCTACCTCCTCTTTGTTACGACTCTGGATCCCGGCCGAGGATGCGAAGCCCCTGTCTTGTCGTAGGCGCTCCAAAGTTGCAGTGCGTCGCTGAATGGCGCTTTTCCTGACGGTTCTCAAGGTATCGGTACAACGGCTCATCTTTACAGCCCCAGCCTCAGCTGCAGACCTATGGAAGGCTCGTTCTCGCTCCAGATGGGATATGTCTGGGTGATGATCGCCTGGGTGTGCAGCCGTGTTGCTGACGAGGAGCACTGCAAAGAGTGTAATAGATGTAAGAAGTCGAACCATGTTGTTCTGCTGTTTGAAAGAATGTAGATTAACTGATTTTGCTCCGGTGATTTGAGCAAGTGAAGCAAAAAGGGACAACCGCACCCTTTATACGCATCATGAAGCAGTAGATTCAGTATACCTTGACATTCACCTTGATCCTTTCCTCACTTAATCAACCAGTCCGTTAGCCATCACATTGTGTTCTCGTTCATGTCAGCGGGATTTGAACTCGCCGCGTTGCCGATACGACCCTGTATACAAAATCACAAGGTTGAACTAGCAAAGGATCGTGGTCCCCTGTCCAGCACTATACGTTTATGCTGGGCAGCAATCTGGTTACGTCGCGCCGTAAAATGTCAGGCCCACCGGAGTGTACCAGTCACTCTACACACTTGAGCCCCTCCCAGATAGGGCAACTTAGGTATCGGTTAGTAGGAGTGTAAATCTCCTCGTCTGTAGGCCGCGTCTACTACAACAAAATTCAAGTTTTCATCATCATAAGTTCGTCTCCTCTTCCCTACTCCCCTGGAGTTTTCATCTTAGCGTGAAGCTAATGTAACTCACGAAGCCGTCCAATGAATAGTATTTCTAATGCTCGGTCTTCGTAATGCTCCAGCTCCACCCTTGGTGCTTCGCCATTTCTAGTAATGCCATGCCGAATGGCACTTCCCAGCGGAAATAATCTCAATATACGGAAGAATGCCTTGGTATCGCAGCTCCCGCGCACTACTCCTCCGTACTGATAGACTTCCCGTGAACCCAGCCTCTATAAGGTCTTACACGATAATCTGGTTGAGCACGCAGTGTTTTTGGAAGAATTGTACTGTACCGGCTCTGAACCGCGCTGCCTAGTAGGCTGGGACAAAGACCACATTCTCAGGGTCTGCAACGCTATGGCCTCATGCCAACAGAATCTGCACTTGACGAGAGTGTACGTTGAACTAGCCAAGTGCTCATGCGGTTCTATTGTAAACCTTATTCTGTATTCGCGGGGGTGATTGGTAAATCAAATCTTCTGATTTGAGGCGATGGACCGTTGAGAGGGCTTATGCAGCGCGCGCTAGGATCGTAAGATGTGTTCCTTGCTGCGGCGCACGGCATGTGGGGTCGTGAGCCTTTACAATATCGCCGGGCGGACTTAATGATGGCTGGCTATTCAACTACTACCTCGCGGACTTATTCATGATCGGCCACTACACCTGTTGTCCGGACTTAAAATCGCGTTTGGTCACGTTACTTCAGATTAGCGAAATCATTCCTAAGAACATCTATGTTCCAGCTATCCATAAGTAATGCTAGCGAAGGCTGGGGTAGGTAGGAATGTGACTCTTGCCCGCTTCCCCGTCCTCGATACCTGCATTCGGCCGAACGTCAATCATGGTTAAGTTGAAGCCGCTAGCCGATCAATCTGAGTGCCCATGTCGCTACGATAGCTCGACATCTGGCGTCTCTTTCACGGACCTTCTCGGTCTTGTCCAGGGCCGATCTCCGTCTTCTACCTACCAAAGTACCTACATGTATGCGGACAGTCGGCGATAAATAGGCCGCATTCTCCGCGCTACGACCAGATCTCTCCGAGCGGACTATCTATGCCTCCATGCGCAGCTGCGGCCGCCCTTCCACATGATCATTCGTCGACCGTGGTACATACCGAACTATTGCCTCCTCGAAGGTAGTTTACCAAATCCGAACACGATCGATCGTGAAGCTTCTCTTTGCCAAGAGACATGCCAACTGCAAAGGTGCCACCCACCGAACGGCAGCGGTGCGTCAAGGCATGTGGCAATTGCAAGACGCGCAAAGAGCGCTGTGATGGCCCGCAGCCCTGTGGACGATGCGTCTCGCGGAAGCTTCAGGCCGGATGCAGCTACGCGAGAGTCGTTGCCCAACGACGGTTGTCTCGATGTTTCGAAGAGTCTTCTAGCCATTTGAGTCCCTTCCACCCCGAGACTCCCTCTCCTTCGCGGCTTTAATCACCCCAAGGACACATTACCTCAACATTGGGTGCGGTGGACCCCCTCATTTCCGCCGACGGGAGCTCACCTCACCATCCCCTTGCCCGACCGCGGTTGCCGTCGCAAGATGCCGACCTAAGCCTCACGTTCTGCCGCGACTCTTCTCTCCTTACCCTTCTTCAGAACGTTCCCTTGCTAGCTGGCAAAACCCTAGGTTCGTGCACACTGGTCGACACGCCACGGCAGCCTCCATCCGAGCCAGGCCTTTCCGAATCTTCCGCCGCAATGAGCAACGAGCCTCTTGCCAAACCAACTGTTGCTGAAGCCAGCGATCTGGTAAGTTGGTGTATTTCAAGCACAAGCGAGATGCTTGGTGCAGTGAACGGAAACTCTCTACAAACGACCGTTTCCGAGTGGCTAAAATCGTCTCATGATAGCGCGGATTCAACGGACGCCCCTTGCTACCTAATTCTGGCACTAGGGGCTCAGCTGTGCCCAGAAGATAAGGACGAGTTTTCTCAGAACTGCCTACTTTCGCTACGGTCGGCTACTGGCTGTAACCCAAAATTTGGACACCTGCAGTACTTCCTCGATCAGGTGATACATCTACATCACCATGTATCTGCTCAACGCATCTAAAGCAGACTCTGCCTCGAAGTATTTGGCCACGGCTGCCGGTGCCGCTTATTTACTTAGGATTCATCGTACTGATGTCCTATCCGATTTTTCGAATGAAGCAGTTGATGAACGCGAGCGGCTTTGGAAGGCGCTTCGTAAACTTGACCTCTTTATCAGTTCATCCTACGGGCGGCCCATTTCTACATACGAAACGCGTCACTTGCAATCTGAGAAAACTTGCTCCCCGGTAGTTGATCTCGGTGTCACCTGCGAGAGCATCTTGCTAAACGTCTATCTTCGTCACAACCCTAGTGAGAAGTTCATTCAGCATATCATTGAGCAACATCGGTCGTGGGTTTTACGCCTCTCCAATGAATTGGAAGTCGATGGCATTGCATTCACGAAACATCCGCAGGGTATACAGCACCTGATCCTATCTTACGTGAACGGGTCATACTACTGGGGCATCATTCTCCTGACCCGGCCCTACTGTCTTAACTACGTGTCCACATACGTTACGGCTTTCGGTCATCAAGGTGCCTTAGCTAGCGGGAGACGAGAGCTGAAAATCAACACCTCTTTCCTAGAACATACTAGATGTACTTCGATGAGGTGGAAGGCCCATACCCAGGCTCTATTCAGGAGATCTGCCTCTGGTCGCGATCCACCTCAATGAGGTAAGTGCAACATGTGCACATCTTGGCCATACGATAGACTGGTGTGTAACTTCCTACAAGAAGCTTTCTGTTCCGAGAGCTAGGTTGTGTTCATGTGTTCCTCGGAGTTCTTAACTACCTAAGTAGCTTGCCGAACCATCAGCAGATGGGATCCTCATGCATACCAAAGGGCTGGCTTTATCCAAGTCAGTGCTGAAGACTGTCCACCTGCGCTCTGCCTCACATATTCGGTGGGAAGTAAATAGGCAGCTGCCACTCAGAGTGAAGCGTACCTTGCAGCTTCCGTTTTTGAGTTCTTGTGCAGTTGGTTAGCTCATCGATGTTTCTGCTTTTGTGTAGGGCAAGAGGAAAGGGCATCAAGTCTTTCTCCAGGAAAAGCAGTGAAGAGTCTAGCATGGTAATGAAGGAAGGACGTTAGACATACCAATGAAAGGGGGGGGGGGTCTTTCCATATGATCTCCATTCATTTTGGGCAGCTGCAAATCTGTTGTTATGTTCTCTGCTGCTCTCGCAGGTGGCCATTGTTACATGTAGCTGAGTTCCTGCCGCAGTCGTGTGCCTCGTCGCGGGTGCCTCGTCAGCCCAGCAATGCTTTCCCAGACCATTGATTTCAAGAAAAAGGAAGGCACAGCGTCACTTGATGACATGACAGCATTCTTTGGCTTGTGGGCAGAGATGGTGCACTTCCACCAGACCACATCATCATCTTCTGCATTCTCTGAATCAATCAGATTGTCCACTACTACCACCAGATTTACCAGAATCATCACCCAATTGCTCATTGATCAGACACAAGGTTGCCACACAACTGCCCAACAATGTCCGGCTCCGGCAAACAGTTCTCATACGCAGACTATCTGCACCCAGACGATGCGCATCTGGAAGATCCGTTTGATCCCCAGTCCACGGACGTAGATGGTTAGGAAATCCATACGGACGAGGATATGTCTGCGGGCGACCAAGGCCTATCCGTGGAAGAGGGACTTGCTCATCGAATGTCTCCACCGTATCCAGAAAGTCCCAGCATTGTTTTTGAAGACCTAGACGGCCTATTCGACGACCATGACCAAGAGATAAGGACGAATACAGAGGCAGCGGATGATGCTACAACAACCGATGACCCATCCGGCAATCTACAACAAACCACTTCGGCGAATGACACCGTCTACGATACTGCTTCGAAAATTCAGGCTTTCACTGATGATGCATCGAGGAACACTGCGCCGGGTTCAGTCTTGTCTAAGACCTCCCGCTCAATTGAGATCGAGTCGGAAGATAACATATCAAGTCCGATGAGTTCAAGCAAGGCCGTTCGAACTGATGAGGCCATCCGTGCTGAGACTCCTGACAACGAGACATCTCCCGGCGAGACCACCGACATTGAGATGTCCGACACTTTCACTCCAGCCTCTTCAAGCTACAGCATCTTAGACGATAGTATCTTGGCTAGTGATATCATTGACGGGTCCCCTTCGAGAGACGCCAATTCGGACAGAAGGGAAGGGGGAAGAATGCGGAAGTGCCCTTGTTTGAGATGTCATGGCCAAGGCAAGCCAAAAAGCAAAGAGACCATACGGTCACATTTATCAGCCGACAAGATTGAGGGACACAACATGCTAGAAAATCCACGAGGCGAATGCAGAAGATGCCGAGGGATTGATAGGCGCAAATGCTATCAATGGGTAGAGAATTTTAAGGCTTGCTCAGAGTGCACCAGGTACAAGGAGTCATGTTCATGGGATTAAAGCAGGGGTTCGGAATGAGTTTGAAGGGGTTCTTCTTGTATCAATATCCCATAGAGTATTGCTTGCGGGCGAGCTGGGCTAAGAGCTTTGTCCGTTAGGAGCTGTCTCCGTGGACCTCATTGCATACCAAATCTGTGATGAACTAAAGGATACGTCAACCGCACACCCTTACTGCCCTTCCTGAATCTATCTCCATTGCCTGATGAATTTGTGTCAGTGACAAGTGTCACATGTCTAAATAAAAGACAGAGCAATGCGTTTCCTTTCACTCTGATAATTTACTCACCCTTGTCATCGACGTTCACTGAGTATTCGGCTTTCCATCCAAACCATACCGTAAGATTTCACCCCATTCGTCCTACTATGACTGTCTGCCTAGTACTCATATAGTCCCAACTAACACTACAACAGCCTAAACTCAGATAAATGGCTGTTTCTGTCGTTGTCAAGCCCTTGTTCGCGGAGGGAGAGGAAGAAAGGCTCAGAAGTATCGCCATAGAGGGACTAGCGGCGATGTATGTTGTGAAAAAGAACGAGGAGCGCATGGATGCTCGTGTCGGTCTTGTCAGCTTGACGTCGCCAACGCAGGATCCTTCTCCAGAGACGATGGCTTCCGGGACGCCGGCAACTATTGTTGGTAGTCGGGCTCCCTCTCGGGAGAATACTCGAAGTCCCGTCCCGGAGCGCATTCGTGGCTTCACTGCTATCAATAAACCCTCCGTCCAACAAAGTCGAGAGGTGGGTAGCAACAATGGTTCACGCCCAGAACCTCGGCACCCGTTGCCAACGGGCAAGCCCAAAAAGCAACAGGATCAAGAGGTCAACAAAGAATATCAAAAACTTCCCTCAGCGCCAGCGGTCAAACCAGCGACTGGAGCAAAAGCCGTCCCAGCCGCGAGAAAGAAGATGCCGACGAAATCTACAGCAGCCGCGAACAACAATACGCGGACCAACGCTGCCAAACCAGCGGAAAAGAAGCCGCAGACGAAGGCCACCAGTGGCGAAAGGGAGATTTGCAAATGCTCCAAGTGCGTGGAAAGCAACCCCGAAGGAATCGAGCAGTGCGCCAAGACGAAAAAGGAGCATATTCGCTCCGACAAGGAAAGGGAAAAAGGCGTGAGGCCTCCCAAACCCTGCGAACGTTGTCTCTCCAACAACAAGGGAGATGAATGCTTCTACAGCGGAGGCAAAGTCTGCTCGAGGTGTATGAAGTTGAAGGAGCGGTGCTCCTTGAATCCGGTTCCAGGGAAAGGAAGGAAGAGAGATCAGAATAAAGTGAAGCGGGAGGGTTCCGCCGAGGACAATGACACGGACGAGGCGGAGAAGGTATTGGAGGTGGTGGAACCGCCGAAAAAGAAGAGACGTACGAGGGCGAGCAAGAGGAGCTCCCCAGCTGGGCAACGGTCGCCTGTTGGCCCTCCTGCTGGAGGCATGGCTGAGGAGCTGCCTGTTGCTAGTGGTCGTGAAGGTAGCTCTAGCGATGATGGTTCTCGGACCATTGGTGGGAGTCCGTCTTCAAATGACGCCACAGCAGGCGAGAGTGGGAAGTCATTTTCGAGTGAACCATGCGGTTCTCCACCCGGCAAAGGAAGAGTTCAAGACTCGCCTGATTCCTAGACCTCCCTCCAGTAGCATGGGAAAGTATCGGTGGGTTAGTATATACGGATGGTGCATGAGTATATTTTTCATGTAAGTAGGACTTGTGAAATCGTTACTCGCCGCGATCCTCAAGTAATCTTTCCTACCTGGTTTCGTAGAAATTCAACACAAAAATATCAGTAAAAGCTCGCATGAGTAAATATGCTACAACACATCGTTTACTTGGAATAAATGCATCATAAAGCAGTCATTGTTCGCTGGGGATCTTGTACGTCACACAGTACTATGTCACGGAGACTAGAGCATGCCCCCCGCAAAGAGTCTCGCTAGTCTAGCGGAAGTGAGCTTTCTGGGGCTCTCTGAGGACGAACTGAAATAATCGAAGACATATAGGAGAAAGGATAGAGAAGTAGTTGTCTGAAAAGCTTGTGATGTTTACCTTACCGAGGAGAGTATCGGAGAAAGACTAGAGAGGCTGGCAACTGCTTTCAACCCTTGATATCACACACACATATACGCACGTACCGGAGAAAGGCTAGAAAGGTAGCTGATGTCAAATTGTGTAGGAGACACCAAGCCCAGCTATCTCCGAGCAGTATTTCTTAGGATAAAAGAAAGAATGTTGTGTTCTCCCGGGCAGGACAGACGCAGAAAGCTGTAAAATTCTCCATCCCCGTCTGAAACTCGTTGATAAGAGTCATTACACGGTAATTCCCCATATCTCTTCTCGCATTCAGCAGTCAATCAACCAACTCATCCACTGACCAGATCACGCTGTCACAAAAATATTTCACATCGAATCACACCGAGACGGAGCCGACACTTCGAGAGATGGCACCGATTCTTGTTGCCACTGCCCCTGCCCAGCAGCAGCAGCAGCAGCAACAGGTGGAAGGTGGGCCGAGACCCTTTCAGCGAACTTGGGACCAAAAGTGTCCAATATCCGATATCATGACGACCGATGTGTCGCCAATGTTGGCCTGGCGGAAAATCAATCCGGTCATAGTTCCGGTCACGTCCCCGGCCCCGGCCCCGGTAGGGGGCTCACTATTACAGGCACCTCAGAGTCCTGACTTGTCGGCGCCTGGGCCCTCGAAAATTCCTGGGCCGTCGACGATGCCTGAGCCCTCGGTAACGCATCCGCTCCCAGCAATGCCCAGACTGAATGCCAGGGGACGAAAGCTACTCCCGGATGGCCCAACCAAGAGGCGTGCGCAGCATTTGAGCACGCCTCAAAGCAGTGCACAATCCTTGATCTCGGCGCCGAAACAACGTGCGGCTTTAGTCTTGGCTCCAGCTGCAGCTCCAGCTCCAGCCTCGGCTGCGACTCCTGCTCCTGCGGCTGCCCAAGTCACCGCACAACCAGCGGTCGTGGCAGTCGTCAACCAGACGTCGAAGACGAAGAAGGAGAACGAGAAGGTACGCTGCACCTGCAGCTATTGTGTAGGCAAGTACGGGCCTAACGGAAAGATGCTTGCCGAAAAGACGTGGAAGGAGCACAAACGTGCCGAAACGACCGCCAGAGAAGGGACGGTGCAGGATCCCAAGTGCGGAAAATGCGAGAACGGAGGATACATATGTGTTCGGAAGGAAACTGGCCCCTGCAACATCTGCATGCGTATGTCGGACGTGTGTTCCTTCACGGGTCAGTCCAATAGAAAGAGGGAGGTCTTTAGGCGGGGGCGCATGAAGGTAAAGTCGAAGAAAGGGGCGACTACTGTCACTGATCCTCCTGCTGATCCCGCTATTCAACAGGCGAAACAGAAGCGAGGGCAAGAGCCGTCCGCCCAAGACGGGAAAGATGACGACCAACTTCCTGACCTTCCTGTGAGTTTCGGGCAGCAGGCGGGTCAACCTATCGTCAAAGACGAAGTTGAAGGTGTGGGCGAGAGTGGCAGCCATGCGAGCGGGAGCTCAGGGTTGGGCTTGAGAAGCCGCACCCTCAGTACCTCGCTTCCCCCTGTGGTTCGGAAGAGGTCAGACGAAGTCGAGGAAGATGCGGGCGAGGACTCTGGCCCGAGGGCGAAAAGACGTCGTATTGCCGTCAACAAGACCGATTGATAGTGCCAGAGGTCTTCGTTAAGCTGGCACGGTAGAGGGGAAAGCGTCAGGGAACGCTAAGGCAGCCGTGAACAGTGTTGCCATACCTAAATAGCGACTGACACGATCTTTCTGCATCTGCTGCCATCTCTCGAAAGTAAGTATGAAAATCCTTGCCGCCGCTCGATCGATACCTTCGTGCTGAACCAGATATCTAACAGAGGTTGTTCGTGCGAATAGTCCATGGACCTACTCGGGTGAACAACCACCCCATCCGGGCACCGGAGGCCCGGTTCTTGTGCAGATCTTCGGGCAAACCTACACCGGCCATAGGGAGAAGATGATCAAGGATGACCTTCAAGGCTACCCGGGCTTCGAGCAACACTGTCACCAGTGGCAACTTGATCTCCTTATCAAGAGCAAGGCTGAGGACGTGCCGCAGACGCTTCTCTGGGCCTTGCAGTTCAGGAGCGTCGAATCCCATGCGCGCACCGAGGAGCCCGAGATATGCCGAATCGGCCTGTCCACTCAAGGCGTTCTTTCCTAGCCTGTCGGCAGGGGTCAGGCCTGGTATGAACCAAGCGTGGCCATGGTGATCGACGCGAGGTTTAAGGTTCTTCAGAGAGAAGCAGTCGGCACCATATACCAAGATGTTGGTTTTCTAGGCGGCCGATAGTTGTGCCAACGAAGAGCACATTCGAGCTACTTGTACCAGGTGAAAATCGGCATTTGCAATGTTCCTCCTAGACTCACAACTGACATGAGCGCAGATTTTTTTTACTTCGCGAACATGGGTCGTGGCTTCCGTTGTTTCGTTGATCGATAGATGTGTGTTGTGTGAGAGAAGTTCGGGCTGGCCGTGGACATTTCATTTGTACCATGAGTTTCTTGCGTGGCATGATGTCAATCGACAGTGCGCACGCGTGTATACTTTGTGTTTTCCGTCGATTACTATTCCGTCGTTGATAGAGATTGAGGCTTGTTTGCGGGACTGTTTAGTTTCCAAAGTAGCAATGATTCAATCTGTATTAATAGCTATATTCTCTCATAACGAAGTTCCCCATGGTGGTGATCACAAACTCATCCTGATTTTTGCGGTTTCGTGCCCTCATCATGAGGGCCATGTCGGGTCGACATCAAAATATAGCATCACTCGCGTGCATCACTGCTTTTCGTTCTGGGCATAAATAAAGTTGGCACCTGGATCGTCATCAGTCTTCCTTTCTTGACTGCAAGTATGCTGCTTGGGTATCAACTCACCGACAGCAACGAGGCCATTCTCCTTGGCCCACTTCTGAACCCCACGCCCCTCCTGGCCTCCCCAATGCTTGCGCTCCTCCGGCTTCGAAAGTTTCAGTTTCTCCTTGGTTCCGTTGGCCGGCACCCAGGCCGTGAAGACGTAGCGGTGCTTGCCGGTCTTGGGCGGAGGTCCCGGCGGCTTGTACTCGATAACCTCGTCCAGATCCGCCGGCTCGATGCCAGAGGAGATGGTCGGGGAGCTGCTGACGGCGATCCAGTGGCAGAACTCTGACCAGATTGGGTTGCTACGAGTAGGCGCGTCCGGGTCGGTGAGAGTCAAGACGTACGTCGTGGCAATGACGCTGGTCATTGATGAGCCGCTGACAATGGCAACAGTAGGCGCAGACTGTAGATCGGCAGGCTTCAGGGTGTTCCCGAGATCGGCGACATTAGAGGAGGACCACTCGGCCGCGACGCCGATGATGGGCTCAAAGTCGTCCAAGACGAGAGGGATGACCTTGGCTTTGTCCAGCCTGTTCTCTGCAAGTCAGCGAGCTGTCAAAGGCGCATATGGGTAGGGCGCAGAGCCGATGATAGACACGTACTCCTCGTGAACGCGAGTCAGATCCGCAGCAGGTCTGAGGACGAATTGATCTTGGCTCGTCGGAGCAGCGGCAACAACGGTGCCGCAGACAGCCACCGCAGCCAGGAATTTGCTTGCAAGGGAGCCCGCCATCGCGAATGACGGGTAAGACGTTGCGCGTCCTCGAGACGAATTGCGATACAGTGGATGAACACCGAGTGAAACGGTGGAGATTGCGGCAGGCAGAAAAAGCCAAGCACAAGCAAGTTTGCTGTGGACGAATGTTTGGTTGGGCGTTTCTTCTTTAACGATTGATGCGGAAGACAAACGCGTTGAAGAATTGTGCCGTTGTTGCCGCCCCTCGCCGCGGGCTTCAGTTTCCGCAGGGAGGGAAAAGCCGCGAGCATCTTTTTGGTGATGTCATGCCGCTACGCTCTGGCGTGCTTTCCCCCGCCCGGAACCCCTGCTCCGCGGCACCAACTGCAACGGCGCACCGGTCGCGCACTAAAATGAAGCAGATGGGTCTCGCAACTTTATTTCAGCCGCTTTCACTCAAAGGTCTCATTGATCTTCACGACTTTTCATGATATGTGAACTGATATAAAATCTCAATTGGTCTTCCGTCTCCATTTTCATGTCGCGATGAGATTGCTGTCAATTGCTCAACTTTCCTAGTCGTGATGTTGAGCAATATGAGAACGTCAGGTGAACGGCGCTTTACACCGACGTGTAATGGCCCGATTTCTGTATGAAAGTCATTTCTCACCTAGTAGCCCGGAAGGTGAAATCGCTCCGCTGATTTCTCTCATAGTAAGCGCTATCGTGGTTCGTTCAGCGCTACGTCAATGCCCAATGCTGACAATGCCATGCTAAAAGATGGGACGCATGCGAGAACAGGCCGCTTGGTTCACTCACATCGTCAATGCCATTCCCTCAGGACACGCGAGCACACAATAAGCTCTGGTTCTTCATCATATCAGACCACGACTCCACTCATAGGCAAGCTATTGCGAGGGCGGCAATTGACGGGCCCGTAATGCATTGGACTAGCGATCCGGCCTCCGATTTTGGAAACATCGCCATGAACTGGAAATGAGAGAGAGATTTTTGTTGAATGCCAATGCTGCGAAGTCAGTCGGGGGAAGGGAAGAGTAAAGTAAGGATGAAAACAAGAGGCAAGGAGGCCTGGAAGTGAAGTAGCTAAGCGATGAAATTTTGAAATCGCGAATCTCACTACATACTCATCACTTCAAACAAAATAGGGCTTCGCTACAGGAACTCGTATTT